GGCTCGGGGCTTCTAACACAGAACGCTGTACCCTGCTTATTTGTTACTTCCATACAAATCCACAACCAGACCTTCAGCCAGCCAGTTGTGAGGCCATAGTTAAACGGTAGATTGTTGGCAGCAAATTGTGAGTCCACTCACCTCCTTTATCGCTAAGGGGATGCCCGAAACCTTGGTCAACACGGAAGCCTGTGGACTTTGTCCATCACAAAGATGCATATCTGTGACACAGCTGAATTTAAAAGTCAGGCATAGGAAGATATTCACAGTGGCAACTAATAAAAATAAGCTAATAACTAAAATAGAATTGTAATAATATAAGTTGCTTTTACTTTTTCACTTAAAAGAAGTACTCCATAGCTTCCTTTTGGCATGTGCAAATGACAGACTCTTGGGTGGTTCTTAAGCCAAGAAAGTGCTACTTGAACACAAGCATTGTGACACATGGCAGTCAACCTAGAGGGTTCCTTACGACCAGTTCACAAACAGTCCATGTGGCGTGGATGTGCAAGTTGAGAGGCCGATTCAGATTCTGGGCAGGAAAAAGCAGGAATGTGTGAGATTTCATCATGCCCCTTAGAATGGTGTGCAATTTAAAACATATGAGTTGTTCAACACTGGAAATTTCTATTCAATATTTTCAGACCACAGTTCACCACCAGTATCTGAAACCACAGAAGGTAAGTGTGTGGGTGTGCAGGACCCACCCTACCAAGTCATTCATTCCAATCCAGTTGCTCCCACTTCCGAGAAGAAACACTGGACTTGACTTGAAAATTTATGCAATTATGTCTAAAAAAAATAAGAAAGAACACAATGATTGGTTTACTCTAAGTGTCATTATAAACAACTAACTTTGAAAAAGAAGATACTTTAATAAAAGATACCTAAATTCCAGATGCTGGTGGCTCACACCTGTAATCCTAGCTATTTAAGAGGCTGAGATCTGAGGATTGAGGTTCAAAACCAGTCAGAAAAGGAAAGTCTCTGATACTCTTATCTCATTTAATCAATCAAGCATCAGGAATTAGAGGTATGAATCAAATGGTAGACCATGAGCCTTGAGTATAAAAGCTAAGGAACAGTGCCAGGGAGGGGGGAGGAAAGGAAGGAGGAGAGAAAGGGGAAAGAAAAGAAAAAGAAGGAAAGAAAGAAAGAAAAGGAAGGAAAGAAGGAAGGAAGGAAAGAAGGAAGGAAGGAAGGAAGGAAGCATAACACCTGATGAATAGGGATGGTCTATATTTTATAAAATAGATGATTTACAGACAAGAATCTGCCATTGCATGTGTCTGGTTTAAACAAAAGGGTTTTTTAATTAGTTATTAGAGAGAGGATTTTGTTGTTTCAGCATAGTAAAAGAATTGGCTTCCACTTCCAATGGTCTATGAAGCTTCAAAGCCAGACCCTGACTTCCCCTTCTCTGACTCTGAAGATCCCCGTGGTGTTTTCCTTCCCTGGGAGGCTGTTTCGTCTCTGTGGAAACTCTGGATCCACCATCTTGACTACATCTGCCTGTCGAACTGCAATCCTCAGGTCTCAGCCTCCTGAGCAGCTAGGATTACAGGCCTGAGCCACAGCTCCCGGCTTTCACCTTGCACCTAGAAACATTTTCTGAAACCTCATAATCCAACTGTTAGCTTCAGCCTTTGCTTCTGCAGCTCCTCCATGTCTCTTGGTCTTCATATAGTTCGAGCCTGGCTCTGGATTAGGCTTTGGCTCAAGCGACTGTCACGGCTGGCCTGATCGTCCATCCAGAGAACTAAAACCTTCCTCCAGATCATCGGCGAAGTGTTTCGGTTGCCATCAGCCACGTGCTCACCAGAGTAACACCTTTCATTTCGTTTCAGAACGTTTCCTCTGCACTCATAGCTGGGCTGACTGGCAAAAAGAGGTCTCGTTTTCCAGCCTACCTCAGCTTTCTACATCGCACTAAACTTAATCACTTATTTGTTAAATTTCAAGCGAGAGATGTGATTTTCCTTTGATTGGAACACTTAAGAGGACATTGCAGGATGACTGTGTGGCCTGATTTTGGTATGGTGACTCAATGACGGAGGAGGCCCAGACAGAGGGGGCAAGCTGGGGAATGGCTGACTGGGTAGAGGTCAGAGGGCACGAGCATCCCTCCAGCGAGTGGCAAGCTGGGGAATGGCTGACTGGTAGAGGTCAGAGGGCACACAGCATCCCTCCAGCGAGTTCTCAATCTTGCATGCATGTGGCTCCAGGCATCCCTTAACAGCAGCTGATCACTGATCACAGATCATCGGCAGTGATACAGCGATGATGAACAAGTGTTACTCTGGTGAGACTGTGATTCAAACACACAAAGTGAACACACGTTATTGGAAAAATTACCAATACTCCCAACGCCTGATGTGGGCTTACCATTAAAGTTTAATTTATGAAGAACATAGTATCTGCACAGTAAAATCCAGTGAGGCATAATAAAACAGTCTGCCTGCCATGTAAGTTAGCTAGAGATGTTAAAATCCACAGCATGATGTGCAAATACTGTCATTATAGGAAGGATTTGGGTATCCATAGGCTTCGGTATCCCTGTGGTCCTGAAACAAATGCTACATACATACCAAGAGATTGCTGTATATTTCCTAAGGCGATGGCTGCTGACTGCCCTTAGATGCAGCTTAGGGTCCATTCGTGCATGGCATGTATGATTCAAGTCCAGTAGTATTTGCTTTAAAACATTAGGGTTGCACGAAGTGGTGTCTGATGATCAAGATTTGAATCCAGCTCACGCTTCCAGGAAAGTTCATGAGACTCTCACTTCCAATTAGCCACTAAAAAACTCAACGTGGAGCTGGGGCTCAAGTAGTAGAATGCTAACCTTGATCAAAATAACTCACAGGCAATGCCCAGGTCCTGAGTTCAAGACTCAGTCCTGGCACCAAAAAAAAAATCAGTTGTTTATTTTTTAATCTATCCGAGCTAGGCAAGCTTTGAGTCATGTGATCTTATTAAATAATTGGTTATAGACACGGAAAAAATGACCATCTGAAACAAGTTTGAGTGGGGAGGGCCTCGAGGGAGGGGGGGAAATGAGTGAGAAAGGAGACAGGAGACAAATGCAGTCAGTGTCTGATAAAAGAGTGAGAAAGGCGTCTGCGAGGCGGGAACATCCGGAGGGGAGCCGGACGGGAGGAGTGACCCAGCAAGACGCACTGGACACCTGGGTGGACATCAACTTCGATGGACATACTGTACTGCAGCCCCTTGCGTAAACTTTTGAAGAAGAGAACTTCTTAAAAATGCAATTTGTTTGTAGAAAAGCAGTTACTCAATGCCAGCAACCATATGCATGCCCTTAACATTTTATCCAAAAATGTGATTCGTATCATTTATACGCCCCCACAAATGACCACTCTGGACACTTGAAATCATTTACTCAAGGCATTTTTATATAGGCTTGCAATTACAGCACAGGCATTAATAACAGAATGTATGAAAGCAAAGAACAGAAAGCCAGTGTGTGGGCCTTATAACAAAAGCTCTTCAAAAAAGTTACAGATAGGATTCCTGAACATTTGAGGAGAAACTAAAACATTATAATACCAAACGGCATGTCATTTGGTTTGCAACAAGCAGTTATTATATTAATTAAATGTCTATATCCTGTGAGCTAAGACTTACTTAATGCATTTTACATTCAAGTTGAAATAATTCAGCACCATTTTAGTTTTAAGGATAAATGAAATTCTTTGTGTTTGAAAGTGGTCCAGGACTTTGCATAGCTGGAAATGAAATATAATTTGTTGAATATATTGATGGTGTATATAAATTTAAAAAATAAAAAATACATAAAGGGGCACTTTTTATCAGTTTAAAATTCTATTAGTATCAAATAGGTTATTTTTAAAACAAAGTATTTCCTGACGACGAATTTAATGTTTTTGTGCAGTCTGCTAAAGATAAATTTTCCCTGCTAGGAAAACTTGGGAACCATGTTTCCTCTAAACCCTGAACATTGAGAATGTTTATAAATGTGAGATCATGTGAGATTTCAAAGAGAAACTTCGTACAAATAATGTGAGGTGAATCATTAGATACTGTTAATAACATTATTATATAAAAATATAAGGCTTTTCAGCCAGGCACCAGTGGCTTACGCCTGTAATCCTAGCTACTCAGGAAGCTGAGATCTAGGCTTGTGGTTCAAAGCCAGCCTAGTCAGGAAGGTCTGTGAGACTCTTATCTCCTCCAATTAACCACCAGAAAACTGGAAATGGCTCTGGGGCTCAAAATGGTAGAGTACTATTCTTCAGCAAAAGAGCTCAGGGATAGCGCCCAGGACCTGAGTTCAAGCCCCACGACTGAAAAAGAAAACAAAGAACAAACAAGAAGTTTTGGTGGTAGCTAGACTGAGTACGAGCCTTAAAGCCCCTGTATGAGCCAAACTGCAGACCGCATTAGGGCAGGCAGTAGGCTTGCTAAATGATTCCCATTTCATTCACAGCCTTCATCAATGCAAAAACAAGTCCCTTCTCAGCACTCATGGTTGTCATTTCGACTCTTCCCTTAATAAAATTATTTAGAATGTGCTAAGACTAAATTGTGTTCTTCATTGTTCAACAACCTTTACCAGTGAATCATCTGTTACAGCAATAGTGACTTCTAACACTGTGTCTCAAAACAACTGAGATCTCTTCACTACTATGAAGTATTTCGGGATGTTCTCTGAAGGCGAATAAACAGGAATATTTTGCTTCTTAATTGAAAAAAAATTCTCAAAAGAATCAAAATAGATGTTATATTTAAAAGACAGACATTTCGGGGATTTGAAACATATTTTTAATGATTAGAAATACATGTATGCATATAATGTTCAACTTGGCGTTTTTTTTGGTGCCTGTACTGGCTGGGGCTTGAACTCAGGGCCTCGTGGCAGTGTACTGGTTTTGTGTCTAAGACTGGTATTCTACCCCTTGAGCCACACCTCCATCCCTGGCATTTTACTACTTAATTGGAGATTAGAATCTCTTTGAGTTTTTCTACTTGAGCTGGCTTTGAATTGAGAGCCTCAGATCTTGGGCTCCTGAGTAGCTAGCATAACAAGTATAAGCTGCTGACGTGCGGCATAATGCTAAACTTTTAATTTATTTTTGAAAAATAAAATACGGTTATGTGAAATGAAAGAGCTTAAAATGGAAATTTTATAGACACTTTCTGTTGTTAAAAATGAGTAAGGTAAACCAAATGGAAAAGTCGGGTCGTTCTTGTTGTATGTACTGAGGTTAGAGATGTTCTTTCTTATGTCCCAATTCCTGATGTGAGAGAATGACTTACACTAATTAGGATTTCATCTGATGATAGGTGCACAGATTAAAGGCCTCACTGAAATGATTGGCAATGTGGTTTTCCATGATACCGGCTGGTTTTTAGGAGCAAATATCCCAGTGACACAATAGGGCTTAAGTCTGTAGATGCCAGTCTAGCTTAATAGTAATACTGATAGTTTTTGGTGTTTATGTTTTTAAAAGCAACTATATTCAAATATCTGTATCAGAAAAGAAGATTATAATTTCAAAGAATCTCTTTCCAATCTTAAACTAAAAAGTAATTGAGGGCAAAGAAAAGCAATCCTATAGCTCAGACATCAGACAGAACCGAAGTTCTGTCTACACTCATTGCTGAGTGTGTACCTGGGCAGGCCAGGACTGAGCTCTGCTCTGCCTGCCCCTGCTAGCTCCCCATCTCGCCTCTCAGACCCCGCTGTGAGCCCAGTGAGCACAGTATGGTATAGGTCATCGGTGTTGATGTCATCACTCTGATGTAAAAGACATCACACAGCTTACTTTCACAATTCTAGTGTATTCTTGGAATCTGAATATTGGTCAATGTAGGAAAGTTTCTGCTTAAGCACCACTAACTTAAAAAGTTTAAATCGGATTTCTTTCCACAACCTTTTGAATGTCAGAAAAATGATGGCGTCTTCAAATTCTTTTGCCACCTTGAGTTTCACAGTTTAAAATAGGATCACAGCGGACTCCTTGCGGAGCAGTCCTCAGGTCTGCAGGATTTCTTTCTTTCCCTCACTCACCAACTCCTCAAGTTCATCTGGCTTTGTGCTTTGCTATTTCACACTCAAAAACACGTACAACCAGAGTCCACAACCTGCATAACCCAGAATGGCACCCCAACATGATGGCAAACTATGTCATCTAATCTGACTGAAAAGTTTTCAGCCTTCCTTTTTCAACATCTGAAGACTGAAAATGGAGAATGGGTGAAAATCTAGTGTGTTTTTCATTATTTCTTTAAAGACTTCGACAGGTTTGAGAGACTGTATAATTGTTGTGTGAAGGAGAATTTGGTTTTGGCTTGGACTGAACTAGGCTTAAGAGCAGGCTCTCTCTGGATGTAACATGTCTGTCCTCTGGCTTTCCAGCTACACAGTTGTCCTATGTCTGTCCATCTCCAGAATGGTAATTTACAGGATCCCACTATAAATACTTCTGCACATGAAAAAGTCTACAAATGAGTAGAGAAATATCAGTAAGTATCAGATAGAAACTGGGCGGCTGGGTCCTTTGATTCAGTCCAAACCAAAAGTGAACTCAAGTCAGAATGAAACTGTGTACTGGACAGAAAGAAAGATATCTAATTTTAAAATGTAAACATAGTTTTATATAGGGATGTAACTATTTCAATACATCTATAGGCATTTCTCTGCTATATAGAAATATCTCTTCATACCAATGGTAATGTGTTTCTTCCATTCTCAGCACCAAATCTGTCCCTGTTGAAACATATTTACACAGCAGGAGCCTCACTTCTAAATTAATCTACACTACAACACACATGAACCCATGATTACACATATGAGCGCATTATTATGCTTCACGTAATGTTTCAGCACTTTAAGGACTAATCAAAATAATGTTGGCTCAATCTTTAGGATATTATTTTTTCCCTTTGGTAGTATTAGTTTCAAAAGAAGCAGAAGAAATTTAGATTTCTTTGAGAGAGTTGAGTATACACTTGCAGAATCAGAACACTGAGTTATTCACAAAGTAATGTAAATAAGTGTTTAAAACTTCTTGAATAATGCTTATTTAAATATTCAAAATCCAGTTATTTTCTTTGTCGTAAAACAGTCCAAATAAAAATTCCTTTGTTGTTTTCTGTCCTCTTTTCCAAAATAATGTAAATCCTACTGAAACTAATCTATTTTTTTCCCACTTCAGAACACAGGAACTGAATTATCCACTGGGAGTTTGGCTTGCTTTTTTTTAATACCTAGATTAAGAAAACAAAACAAAACAAGTTATTAACCTGATAATATTATAATTGGGTACAAAAAATACAATTAAAGTCTACCTTTAGAATACTGCATGTAGCAATTCCCTCCTCCTCAGCAAGAGACACACCTTGTGAAATTAGCGTTAATAGGTATCAATAGAGAGCATATGCCTGATGACTATAATCTTACTATTCATCATCAAAGAAATAGCCTCTGAAATGATCAAAAGTGAAGCAGGACGGAGGTTCCACCAATCAGCTGAGTTAATTTCCCGTAAAAGACAAGTACCATCCTATCAAGCAGTGGAGCCAGGCCTGCTGCTCTGCCTAGCTGTACTTCTTCTCCAGCACGGTTTGGATGCAGAATGACACATTAAGAGGTAGAGATCGTGTCAGAGGAAGTTCAATCAAGTACTGTTGTATTTAAATCTCGATCATATAAAGGAGTGACACAGATCAAGGTGCACTGTGCTCACAAACTGATATGTTGAACTGAATCCCCCTTTTACAACTACTTTAATAATGATCCTGAAACTCCATGTAAGGAAGACTAAAGCCCAAATCATAAACCACCCATTTCCAGACAGCAAATTCTGTGAATAGAAGAGAACTTAACCACAGAACTAAAAAGGGCTTCCGAGTCACACAACCCACGTGTATTGTTCACCATGGAGATACATGAACAGAACACACCTACTTACTGGGTGGTTTCTACACACCAATCAAATGCTCTCAAATACCTGATTGGCATGACAAAACAACCAGGGACCCAAGAGTAATGTGCCATTAGAGGTTTTTGTTAAGCCTGGAACTTATCCATAGCCATCTGTCTGACCACCTGGCTTTAAGCAAGTTACATCTTCTGTTCAAAACCTTTTCAAGATACCCCTGGCCTCCAAGACAAAGTTCAAACTCTTCAGCTTGCGCTTCGAAACTCCCTTGACCTAGTTCCCAGTGTGAGCCCAAAGGGCCTTTCCATCCTTTTTATCCAGCTCTTAGTTCCATGAAGTTTACGCTTAGCCAAAGTAGAAGACTTCCCTTGGCAAACAGGCCCTGTATTTCCTCCTGACCTGACCCTCCCCTCCCCCCTTGTGGTCCTCAGCCCTCAAGGCCAAGGAAATGGTGACCTGAATCCCAGTTGGAAGGAGAATCTCCTTCTGAGCTCCGATCCCTAAGGTGAAAGTCAAAATACAAGGGCAAGCGATTCGGAAGGCGACAGGTTTTTCTCAAGAGAGGAGCTCGGCACATTTCATGCTGCTGTACACAGCGAAAGCATAACCTTCTATTTTATTATGCATCACTCACTTAATTTTGCTTCATCCTATTTCCCTTTGGTCGATCTTCCTTTTGGGGGATGCGGGGAGGTTCTGGGGCTTGAACTCAAAACTTCATGCTTTCTCCTGTTTCTTTTTTTTTTCCACTCAAGTCTGGGGCTTTACCACTTGGGCCATACTGTCGCATCCAGCTTTTTACTGGTTAACTGGTGACAAGAATGTCATGAACTTTTCTGCCCAATCTGGCTTTAGACCGTGACCCTCAGATCTCAGCCTACTGTGTATCTAGGAATACAGCCATGAACCACCAGCATCCATCAACACTGCTTATTAAAAATTCCATCCTGACTATGCATCCCAGGCGGTGATAAGTAGGGAATTAAGGAGAATCGATTCTGCAGTCACACAATACTTCTGCTGTCCTAGACCAACTTTTATTAATTCTCAATGTACAGAATGACTCTTGCTATTTACAGCTAAGACATGCTTGACGTAAAACGATTCACCTCTCAAGATCTATTCTTCCTGGGAGGGAAGCAGTCATACTTGAGAGTCATCAAACTTTTTCTAGACCTTCTGGTCTCACTGCATTTTCATTTATCTTCGTGGAACTTTTCATCTAGCATTGTGACTACGCTGCTGTGTGGTTTCTCACTCCCTTTGCTCAGCAGTTTCTGTGTGAAGTGGGACAGGCCTGGATCTGGCCATCAGGGAATGGGACAGAGGCAAACATTAAACAGAAAAGCATGGCAGCTATTTCTTCCTTTGGATTGCTACTCTCTGATATCTGGAGTAGAACCTTAACAAGCATATTCTACAAAGTAAAAGATGAACACATAAACGGAAAATAAGTTAGTACGTTAAGGAACTATAAAAACCGAGATGAAAACACTCTTCATTTTTACATGAAATTACATTCTGATCTGGCTGCACACCATTTGAGCCTGACAGCCAGGCTTGTCTCCGGTCTGTAAACCTGCTCAGAGTGACTGCATTTGTTTAGTACTACCATCTCAGGGCTTGAGCTCCCTTGAGTGCTTTGACCATGGTTATTTATCACTGGCTCTGCTCCTCTATGCAAATGAGGGAGAGGGCCTCCTCCAAGGTCAACAAAGCCCAAGTCACAGTATGTGGCACTGTGGATGGAGCATGGGCTGGCCAGGCTTCATTTTCTCCTCATCAGGATGCAAGACTTAGGGCCAAATTTGCACCATCGGATTTAGGTGGACTTGGGAAAGTTTATCAATTACAGGCTCATGAGATGCAAACTGCTATTCCAGTTTCTGTATGAAAGGGTGTGTGTGTGTGTGTGTGTGTGTGTACCCATGCACCAATACTGGGACTTGAACTCAGTTATGTTGTCCATAACGTTTTCACTCAAATCCGGCATTCTATCACGTATGTCCAACTTTTTGCTGGTTAAATGGAGATGTCTTCAGGATCTTTCTCGCCCAGGTTGGCTTTGATTGATCCTCAGATCTTAGCCTCCTGAGTATCTTGGGTTACAGGTGTGTCACTGACACCTGCTTCAGATCTTCCTACTGACTGTAACCTTCTTTTTAATAGCTCTTAAAGCTCCGTCCGGATGACCGAGAAGCACAGTGCCTCTGACATCCATACAGAGCTGATGCGTGTCACTGTCATTCTACGGTCTTATATGAGGAAGCTATCACAGGCGTCTGGTACCAAAGCAACAGGGAATAGGCGATACTTAAATGAGTAGGGCAGAACAGATGGACAATTCCATCACAGAACCTCCTGACTGATATTTATCTGCTGCAGAAGTTTCCACATATATCCTCCTTCAGTAGGGAATTCCTTTAGTACCTGTGGTGGGGAAATGGAGTATGTAAAATCAGCCCAGGGAGAAAGGTCTAATAGCTTCAGTTGAATACTTTAACTCAGTGGTTGTCCGAATGTGCTGTGAAGAACTCTAGGAATTTCTTCAGTGATGCTTCAGGGAATGTGGGAAACCGCACTTCTAAAGCTCTCACAAGCTGATCTCTGCTAGCCACTGGAACAAGACACAGCAGCCCTCCGCACGCACCAGTGTTGGCCTTTCTCAGTACCCTGTGACCTTTGGATACATCTTATCTTGAAAACTGAGCTTTAGGATGATTACAACCTTAATTCACCCTCCTTCCAAAGCACTGGAAAAAAATAAAAGATAAACTCAAATGTTAAGGTAGAGCTTATCTACATAGGGATTTTTCTCTGTTGATTATCTGTTCTTGTAGATTCCTTCCTTAGACAGGGAGTAGACACAGCAGAGCAGAAGTAGCGGGAGAATGCAGTCAGGAACGCAATGTGTATCCTACAAAATTCTTCAAACTGTTTGTTTAACGGCATAAACTGCTTTGTTAAATGGCAACTCTTGTAAAACTATTTTAAAATAGTTTTGTATCAAAAGGGGTAGGATGGAGTCAGGGGAGAAGGGTAGATGAATGAAGAATAGAGAAGAGAAAAGCCGGGCACCAGTGGCTCACACCTGTAATCCTAGTCATTCAGGAGGCTGAGACCTGCTGTGCTGGTTCAAAGCCTCTTATCACCAATTAATCACAGAAAAAGCCAGAAGTGGCACTGTGGCTCCAGTGTAGTGCTAGCTACCAAAAGGAGCCCAGAGACCGTGTCCAGGCCCAGCGTTCAAGCCCCAGGACTGGCAAAAGAAAAAAAAAGATTCACGTTGAGTATAATGCCTGGCAATGAAGTAAGACTCTAAAGACAATGACTCACGGCGAGATGGTGCAGCCCGAGGCGTACGCATGGTGTCCTGTGTAGCGAATGTCGCAGCGGACCACGTTGTTACTGTAGTCGGATTCAGGCACCAAATAGCTGGGGTTGACACTGACCTAGACACCAACAGCCAGGCGTTAGGGACTTCATCATCACGAAATACTGCTTTTTATTTGTTTGTATTCCATCGCGCCACCCCAAGGAAACTGCTGACAAAGCACTTCACTAGACCACGCAGGAAGTTTACGTTAATCAAGTTGATTCCATCCTGGAGACATCACACAAGGAACATGAACAATTCCCCAAACGAATTCCTCCTTTCTTCTCTTTCTTCCTTCTTTTCTTTCTTGCTTGCTTGTTTCTCTCTCTCCCTCCTTCTCTCTCCTCCCTCCCTCCTCCCCGCCCTGCCTCCCTCCCTTCCCTTTTTTTTGGCTTGCGTGTACTCCAGTACTGAGGCTTAGACTCAGGGCCTAGGCTGTTGCTCCACTTTTTCACTCAAAGCCAGCACTCTACCACTTGAGCTACAGCTCTAGCTTTTTAGTGGCTAACTGAACATAAAAATCTCATGGACTTTCCTACCTACCTGGGCTAGGCTGGCTTTCAACTACAATCCTCAGATCTCAGCCTCCTGAGTCACTAGCATTACAGGCCTGAGCTATCAGCACCAGGCCCTACAGATTGTTTCTTTTTAATGAGAAATATTTCATTTATCTAATTTTCTTAGAAACTATCTGAAAGTAACGTATGCGAAATTGCTTCCAAGGCCAAAATGCTTTAAACATTTAAAATCCCAGGAGCAGGCCTGATTTACGTTTAAATAAACTACGTATTTTAAAGGTTACCTTTAGGATGTAGTTTCCGGGTTGCACGTCTGTGATATCAATCCACTGGCAATCTATGTCTGCTGCATAGGTATCATAGCAACCAGGACTCAATCCCTGAAACAGATAACACAGAGCATACATAAGTGATCGCATGGGATAGTTCTGACTATGCTAGATGATACGCTATTATTTGCTAAGTAAATTTTAAGTACCTACAAGAGTTTGAAATAAAACTATACTTCTAGTCCATCTCTCTTAAGTATACATTACTCAGCCTCACAGTTTCTCCAAGTAAAACAGATACAGGATTACAGTAAGTATAGCTTACACACACCTGAGTTCTTAAAAGTGATTAGTAACCAGTGATACATGACTAAACAGACTCCCATCAAAATTCTAGAAAGATCATGGGCTGGGAAGGTGGCTCAGTGCTTTCATGAGGCCCTGGGTTCGATTCCTCAGAACCACATAAACAGAAAACGCCGGAAGTGGCGCTGTGGCTCAAGTGGTAGAGTGCTAGCCTTGAGCTGAGCTGAGGGACAGCATTGAGGCCCAGAGTTCAAGCCCCACGACCAACCAAAAAGTAGATAAATAAAGGAATAAAGATCATTTAGTAATTAATTTAGTTCAAATGTTCTATTAGTGAAATCCTAACTCTACCCTAGTAGAAATTAACTTCTGGAAATTCTTTTTTTTTTGGTTATGCTGCTTGAATTCAGGGCCAGGATGCTTGCTGTCCCTGAGCTCTTTTTGCTCAAGGTTAGCACTCTACAACTTTGAACCACATCACCACTTCTGGTTGTCTGGTGGTTATCTGAAGATAAGAGTATGGACTTTCTGGCCCAGGCTGGCTTTGGACTCTATCCTCAGATCTCAGCCTCCCAAGTAGCTAGAATTGTGGGTGTGAGCCATCAATACCTGGCTTAAGTTATGCATTATAACAGTAGCATGTAAAAAACAAAGAATATATCAACTAGAAATTATAGGCTTCCTAAGTCTATATTGTTATTTTTTAAGTAGCTTACATTAGTTTTAGAGAGGAGGATTTCAGTACTAAGTATTGGGTACCATAGTTTATTTTAAGCTTGTTATATAGAGAAATTTAATTCTCACCACTACATGATGCAGGTGCCACCAGAGTCTCCAGCTTATACATAAGGAAATCGAGGCACACAGACGTCAAGGAACTCATTCAAGTATGTCACAATGAAACCCTCTTGCACAGCTAATGGATGACAGGAAATACTACTACTACTAACTTGTCACGAGTGTACAGCTAGTGAGTGGCTGAGCTCTCTTTTGGGTTTCTTTTTTTTTTTGTCTGTACTAGAAATCGAATTCAGGTCCTTACATTTGCTAGCCAGCCACTCTCCACGTTAGCCACATGTGCAGTCCTTTATTGTGATGGTTGTTTTTGAGATAGTCCCTGCTTCCTCTTCACGGGCCTGAAACCAGTAATCACCTGACCCAGTCAGCAAAGGATCCCAGACTCTGGGGTCACGTCCTCATCTGCCGAGGTCACTAGAGTCTGAGGTCACATCCTCATCTGCTGAGGTCGCTAGAGTCTGAGGTCACTTCCTAAGCCGCCCAGCCACGCCTCCCCTGCGCAGTGAGTGGTTCCCCTGACTCTGAAGTCACTTCCGTCACTTCCAACACTTCCACGTCGATGAGGTCCCGCCTCTCGCCTTGCCCATATCATGCCATTCACCACAGTCCCCTCCTCTTTTTCTCCTCTTCTCTCTCCGCACACCTCCACCTTGCTCTCCCTCTCATAAACTCTTTTCTGCCTGAACCATGTGGCGGTCCCCTCTTGGTGTACCTTCCACTACTTGAGCTGGTTTTCAGTTTAAAGGCTTCACAGCAAAGAGTCTATGTTCTTAGCTACCAAACTGCATCTCATGTCATAATCATTGAACTACTATCTTTAGTGAAGGAGACAGAAATATGCCCAGGCTAGCAAATGCCACACCATTCACAGGCTAAGACAGTCACTTCAATAGTAAATGAAAGTCTGGTACAGGCTGAGAAAAGAAAAGTACCAGAAAGATAAAGCCCATCCTCTCAAGACAGTTACAGCCTTGAGAATTTCCTCTATTGAAGTCTGCTAGGGTATCTTTATTTTTAAGTTGCTGTTCATAAAAAGTTTCAATTGCTATATTTTCATTCTTATAGTGGTCTAGAATAAATTTAGAAAATAATATGCTGTAATAACAACTCCACAGTCATTTAATTTCAGCACTCAATAGTATCCACTTTATCACCCAAGTACAGGCCAAGTCATCTCTATATGCTTTGGTAATGCTGGCTTGACTGTAACTGGATTTGGAAAGAATAAGACAGAATTGGGCTGTCGTGTCTTACAGACTGTGACTGCACAGATGGTCCAAACTGAAAACTACCACGGGACCACAGCCACGAGAGCGTATTCCACCGTGATTACCTGTTTCTGACCTTGGTCCATACATGCTATGGGATGAGCAGCAAATACATCATCAAGAACATTCAGTCTGATCCCAGCACAAAATTCTGATTCTTGTGGGCCATGTGTTCTTGGTAAATTTTGGTTCCTGCTATTACTTCTGCTACTACTACACTTGTGAGATTGTAAACACTGAAGCCAGGTTTAAATATGCTCCTTTCAAGTCTGTTTTTAAGTGCACAGAAATGAGCCAGTGGTTCGTGCCTATCACCACAGCTACTCAGGAGGCCGAGGAGGAAGGAACACTTGAGCTCGACCAGCCCAGGAAACATAACGAGGTCTTGTCCAAATAAGTAAATAAGAAGGAAACGGAAGAGGAGGAGAGAGGGGAAGAGAAAAAGAGAGGGGGGGTAGGGGAGAAAGAGAGGGAGGACAGGGAAGAAAGAGAAGAGAGAAAGAAGAAGGAAGGGAGGAAGGAAGGAAGGGAGAGAAGGAGGGAGGGAGGGAGGGAAGGAGGAGGGAGGGAGGAAGGAAGGGAGGGAGGAAGGAAGGAAGGAAGGAAGGAAGGAAGGAAGGAAGGAAGGAAGGAAGGAAGGAAGGAAGGAAGGACTAAGAGGAGTAATCCACTGGCAGGATTCAAATATAAGTTTTGATTATTTGAACCGGACAATAAAAAGTGGAGTCACTAATGCTATAGTGTTATAAAGCAAGCAGACATTTCACGGATTCAAAGTCAAAATATAAAAACAGAACCTTAGCTCAGACTAAGTGAGTTATTCGGTTTTAACAAAACCTGTTTACTTCATGAAATGAATGAGGTAATGTAACAATAATTTTAGCATTACAAATGGACTATATAAATTTAAAGTCTAAGAGTTACATGAGTATAAAGTTAAAGGAGACATGCCTACTTTTATGACTGAATGCATTTAATCAGTGTTCTAATAAAACTAATCTAAGTCAACATTACTGGTTATTGACACTGACCTAACTTTTTTAAAAAAAATGCTTATAATAGTTAAGCAGGACATATGCAGAGGACAATTAACAAGAAAACTAGCGTAGGTAAAGAATCAAGTCCCACCAGGAAGAGAGCAACTAGAATGCTAAAATCACATACCACCCAGATCAAATATTGCAGCCCAGAAAGAAATGTTCTGGACGTTTGTTTAAGCGTGGCGAGCAGACTGGAGGTCTGCCATCCTGTGGCTGTGGACCTCAGGGATCATGAAAGATAGGAACCCCATGTGGGCCCACGTACCATGCATGGGTGGATCGCCTCTCCTTTGACTTGAAGAGTAAGTACGGGCCCACACATGTCAGATTTAACCTTTCCTCCTCCCAACTGCTATTATGGTCTAAACTCAAGGAAAAAAAAATGGCCAGTAACATTTAGGTCACCAAGAGCTTCCTACCACAGCCTTGGAGCTGGCTTCCCGGGACGCCAGCTGTGGAACCTCGTGCCCTGGACGGTGTGCACTCACTGCTCTTGGCCAACATCTGGGTGGGAGTAAAATTACAATATCCCTCTACAAATTAGGGTTTCAAATGGAAATAAAGATATGGCTTTGAACTGACACACATTTTCCAATTATGAGACACACAAACTGCTTGGCTCAGCACTATTTTTTTAAAAACCCCATCCAGTCGACATCTGACATCAATTACACTGTAGGCTTAAATATATGTGTGTAACAAAAAAAGAAACGTGTCCTGTTCTTCTTAATCAGAGACAAGGTTCACAGTGATTTTAAGAAACCATTTCCCCTCCTATTGCTAACTCCAACTGCTATTCTGATTCAAGTATGATAGGAAGAAAATGGAATGGTTTTGCGGGTGAGAAAACCAAGGTATGATGTCAACAGTTACACACAGCCAATTAAAGAATACAGACTGAATGCAGATGTTGTGAAGTACTCAGAATTTCAGAATGGATTTCTGCTTTTCATGGGTGGAATATAGCAAGGACCACACAGCCTTCTGTGATCAGGAACTACATGCCTAGCTGAAAACACTCAATATTTTGCATCATCGAGTTGTCATTTCCCAGTTCGTTTCCATCTTGACATATTAGCTCAAAATGAGGCCATTTATTTAAAAAGAAAGGAAGACAGAAGAAAGAAAAGGAGGGAAGGAGGAAGGGAGGGAGGGGAAGAGTCGATGACCTGGTTTTCTCTCAAAGCCTATGCATTCCTGAACTACAGTACTAATTTACCTGTGTGTGTGCAGTACATGCAAACCGCCTATGGTAACCATAGTCACAGGAGGTGTCCTCAAGGCAGAAACTGGCTTTGTGGCCTTCAGCCACTCTCCTCTGTGTGTTGGCATCCAGCAGGTCGTAGTGGCTGAATTCATCCATGCTGTGATAGTGTCTAATATCCCACAGGACAAAGAGATTGGGGTGAGTTGCACATATAGAGAGCACAAGGATATTCCATTCTCGATCACCTTAAAATTGAACCCAAGACTGGGAGCTCACACCGGGCTTTTCCACTCATGGCTGATGTGGCACAACTGCAGCCACACCTCCACCTCCAGCTTTTTACTCACTAATTGTAGATAAGGAACTCATGGTTTTGTCTACACAGGCTGACTCCTGGTCTGAGCAGGAGATAAGAGCTAGGATTATAGGCATGAGGCACCAGCACCTGGCTAAATCTATCTTCTTCAAGGGAGATTCAGCTTAGATTTTTTTGACCCTAGGGATAGAAATGTTATCAAAATTGTGAGCTCTTAACTTTGCTTCTAGGCAAAAAGGATCTGCATGAGTATTTTTCTTCCCTTGGACATCCTGTTGAGCTGAATAGATGGTGCTGTGTCTGTGTGCAAGTAAAACTTGAGAGTTCTCTCCTCTGTCACTTCTCATGCTTCATTCAAACAAAAGAAGCACCTTATTCTTGAAAGGGTCAATGAGGATTTTTAAAAAAATAAGAGTTCTCACACATTTATATTTTAATGCAAATACAAGAAAGTAGCAATGATGTATACATTACTAGCATTTAAATAGCATATGATATATCTTATCTGGAAATAAGATATTTCTTAGTCAGGTGCCAGTGGCTCATACCTGACTACTCAGGAATCTGAGATCTGAGGATCACAACTTTGAAGTCAGCCTCAGAATACAAAGCCAAGAAATAATTATTTTCAATTAACTAGCAGAAAGCCAGAAATACAGGTGGTAGCGCAAGTGGTAGAGAGCATCAGCCTTGAGCAGAAAAGCCAAGCAAGAGCACAAGGCCCTGAGTTCAAGCCCTTACTGGCAACACACACACAAAGAAAGAAAGAAAGAAAGAAAGAAAGAAAGAAAAGAAAGAAAGAAAGAAAGAAAGAAAGAAAGAAAGAAAGAAAGAAAAGAAAGTGTATCTCTCTTATCTGCATGAGTGTCTCATACCCTTTTCTCCTTTCATTCAATGGAAAGTGCTAGGCTATTCTTCTCCAATGAGAAAAATGAGACAGGACAGACATTTAGGAACATTTAAGGCCATACATCAGAATTTCCAGATAATAAACACCTGGACAAGTTACAAGGCAAATAATTGCATTACTTGTGTAACTTAGACTTTAAATATTTTCAAATTGAAAATAATCACATTTAGAATAGATCAGGCAAGCACTCTAAGTTTGATATAGGCCTTTAAAAATATGGAAATGTACAAGGTCATGAAGTATACCAGATACTATTCTTTGTGAAAAATGGCACACAGTCTTTATTAAATGCTATTTAATGAAAACTGTAGATGATCTTGGCTATAGTAGATATTTTGTGAAATTCTATCTATAGTAGAATAAATTTTACTGAAGTTGATTGTTGTATCCTCTCCATAGCTTGAAAGAACTAAGTTTCTAATTCAAAAGACAATAAGGTCTCCTCTTTGTGACCTTGGTTGCTAATGTAATCTACACCATGGAGTGTATATTTCCACAGCTTAGTTGTGTGCACTGAGGATAGATAGATAGATAGATAGATAGATAGATAGATAGATAGATAGATAGATAGGGATAGCCAGGGTTGGTGGCTCACACTTGTAATTCTAACTACTTAGGAGGTTAAGATCATAACCAGATCAGGAAGAAAAAGTTTGGGGGACACCTATCTACAATTAACTAGAAAAAAAGCCAGAAGTGGAGCTGTGGCTCCAGTGGTAGAGTAGCAGCCTTGAGTGACAAAGTCAAGAGAGAGCCAAGCCCTGAATTTAAGCTCCAGTACCAAAGCAAAGAAACAAATAAAAGAAGAAATATGACATATAAAAAGACAATGGGATTCAATAGTGGATAGATTATATTAAAAACTGATTCCTTTGATTGTGTCAAATTGAATAAAGTCTACATGCTGTGAATGGTGAATTCCTCTGTTGGGGTAAGAAATAAGCCTCATTGTCAGATAATGAATCCTGCGAACTTATGAAAGATTGGCCTGTGGGCTGCTCAGGAGGCCGCGCACTTACTGGTGACAACTGTGCCATTCCCAGGAGTATCTCGGACGGCTGGGTAGGAAGTCAGATGTCCCTTGGTTTTTTACTCTTTGGGGAAATCTTAGCAGCACCCTGTGATCATAATCTCTCACATCTCCTCTGTAGGCTGAGCTAGGGGTGGGGGGAAAAGAAATATTTTTTTTTAATTTTTAAAACTCAATCATCTTTAAATGGCTGTACAAAGAGGTTTGGACTCAACCTGTCAGTCCTGTGCACCTTGCATGGTCCTCTCCTCCGTCTGTCCCAGCCCCCCTGGTCCCCTCCGGGTCCCCACAGGTGTGCACTGTATACTATGAGTATATTCACCCACCTCCCTCTCCCCTCTCATCTGCCCGCTCCCTCCTCCCTTTATCTCCTACTCCTAGCAGATAGGACCTGTTTCTGCATCCTGGTATTTTGTTGTTGTTGTTAACATGTTCATTATTCAAAGGGATTCACCTCAATCTGTCATAATTTAGTCAGTCTGGTCTTGCCTGTCAGTCTGTATGTGCACAACTTAGACCCAACTCCAGAATATCAATTAAAGACACACCTGTGAACACAACCCGTCCATGACAATGTCCCCACACCCCCTTCCCATGCCACCCAGGCTATTGCCATCCTGAGGGGCTGAGTCCTAGAAGAGCCCTGGAAAAGTCAGCACTCAGGGAACACGCCAATCAATGAGCACCGAAGCCTGTGGAACGCGAATGCAAAAACACGGTGAGATCCACACCAAAAATCTACACGCAAGCAGTAAACTGTCTCTAGAGTGAGTCCGGGTTGGACCCTGTGAATACCCGAGACAACCAATGAGCCCTAAGGGTGAAGAACTTCGATTTTAGCCAAACACTGCTTCCTCGATGGATGACCAAGATAAACTGGGAAATGCGCACGAGCAGACGCGGGTGGAGAGCTTCGCAGTTCACCATCTCCAGCTCCGAGTCCCTGCTCTGCTGACGTCGAATGGTGTGAGCAGTGCCAGGGCTCAGGATGGAGAATGGATTTCGTTTCTCTCTCGTTCCCCCTCCAGTCTGGCTGATGGCACGGGGCTCAGCGTTGAGCAGACTGGCAAGGAGCCCGGCCCTGCCTGGCGCGACCCTGAGGCCTCCGGGCTGGGACAGGGCCTGGCTCCCTTCGCTGACTGCCACCCCCCCCCGCGGGGTCCCATGGAGACGTCTCTGCCCCTTGGCGGGCCCCCGGGGCGCGGCTCGGGGGGGACCCCACTCCGAACAGCCGAGGTCTTGTCCTGGCTGAAGGAAGACAAACCAAGGCGGCCGGCCGCGGCCAGGGGCGTACGCTCGCCCCCCGCCCGCCCGCCCCGTCTGCGCGGCGGCGGCTCCGGATTCATATTCGGGGCGGGGGTAGACTCGGGCTCCGGGTCTGCGCAGGGCGGCGCCGGACCCCGAACTGCGCTGCCGTCGGAGGGGGGGGCTCTGTCTCCAGACGCGCGCGCCCTGGGGCCCGGCCCGCGTCCCGGCCCCGCCCCCCAGGAGCGGGGCGGCCCGGGACCCCCACTCCCCCCGTACCTGGCCAGGCAGTTCTCCTCGGCGGCGCAGCGCAGGTTGTACATGGCCATCTTCTGCACGTACGTCGAGGCCTGGATGTAGTAGGGGTCCGGCACCAGGTCCGGGAGACCTGAGGACGGGAAGGACCGGCGGGCTCGGGCGCCGTCCCTCCCGGCCCCGGCCCCGGCCCCGGCCCCGCG